ATAACAAAATACCATAGAATGGGTGGCTTAAACAACATATATTTTCTCATAGTTCTGGAGGCTAGGAGTCCAAGTTCAGCATATCAGCACAGTCCAGTTCCTAGTGATGGCTCTTTTTTTTTTTTTGGAGACAGAGTCTCATTCTGTTGTCTGGGCTAGAGTGCCGTGGTGTCAGCCTAGCTCACAGCAACCTCAAACTTCTGGGCTCAAGTGATCCTCCTACCTCAGCCTCTCAAGTAGCTGGGACTACAGGCATGTGCCACCATGCCTGGCTAAATTTTAGTTGGCCAATTAATTTTTTTCTATTTTTAGTGGAGATAGTGTCTCACTCTTGCTCAGGCTGGTCTCGAACTCCTGAGCTCAAGCAATCCTCCAGCCTCAGCCTCCTAGAGTGATAGGATTACAGGCATGAGCCACCACATCCAGCCCTAGTGAGGGCTCTTTTCCTGGCTTGCAGACAGCTGCCTTCTTGCTAGATCCTTACATGGGGGAGACAGAGAGAGAGAGAGCATGCACGAAAGAGAGAGCGAGCAAGAATGCACAAGAGTGCAAGTAGCTTAACTTTTAAATTCAATTAAATCTTTCATGAGGCCAGGCTGCAGTGGCTCACACCTGTAATTTCAGCATTTTGGGAGGTTGAGGCAAGAGGATTACTTGAGGCCAGAAGTTTGAGACCAGCCTGGACAACATAGGGAGACTCCCATCTCCACACACACAAAAAACTAGCTGGGTGGGGCACTACATGCCTATAGTCCCCCCTACATGGGAAGTTGAGGCAGGATAGCTTGAAACCCAGGAGTTTAAGACAGTGAGTTATGATCATGCTACTGTACTCCAGTTTGGACAACAGAGTAAGAGTAGTACAATATTACTTGCCAAGCTAAATTACTGTTTTTATCAAATTTCTTTCTTTTTTTTGAGACCAAGTCTTACTCTCTTGCCCAGGGTGGAATACAGTGGCATGATTATAGCTCACTGCAGCCTCAAACTCCTGGGCTTCAGCAATCCTCCCAAGTAGCTGGAACTACAGGTGCACACCACCACGGCTGGCTAATTTTTTATTTCTAAAAAGTTTTTGTAGAGACAAGTCTCCCTATGTTGCCCAGGTTGGTCTCAAACTCCTGGCCTCAAGTAATCCTCCCACATCAGCCTCCAAAAGTGCTAGAATTATAAGCATGAGCCACCACCCTTCTAAATGAGAAATCAGATTTCTTATTTATAAATATATAAGTTGGAAAGAAGCACCCAAACTTTTTAAGTTTAATAAAACTATAATATCACAAAGCTACGTGTGACATGTAAATTTGTTGTCACCCAATTGATGAGAATATATAGGCTAAGTGGATATTCTGGAGTCTTGTCCAACATTTAATTAAGAGCCATGTTAGTGTTATCTGTACATTGTTAAGTGGTCATCAGCAGGTTTGAATCAAAGCAAAATAAGAAATATTAAAGCTGGACTCGGCCGGGTGTGGTGGCTCACGCCTGTAATCCTAGCACTCTGGGAGGCCCAGGCGGGCAGATTGCTCAAGGTCAGGAGTTCGAAACCAGCCTGAGCAAGAGCAAGACCCCGTCTCTACTATAAAATTAGAAAGAAATTAATTGGCCAACTAATATATATATAGAAAAAAATTAGCTGGGCATGGTGGTGCATGCCAGTAGTCCCAGCTACTCGGGAGGCTGAGGCAGCAGGATTGCTTGAGCCCAGGAGTTTGAGGTTGCTGTGAGCTAGGCTGATGCCACGGCACTCACTCTAGGCTGGGCCACAAAGCAAGACTCTGTCTCAAAAAAAAAAAAAAAAAAAGCTGGACTCAAAGGATAATGTGCCTTATCAGAAAGTTCAAATATGTGAAGAAATTTGCATTAAAATGATATGGTAACCTCAGTGCACTGGTAATTGTACTTGAGGGGCTTTATTATATTAAACATTACTTATTTAACATATTTGAATATATATTTTAAAATTACACTTCTAAAATCACTATAATATGACCATATATTATAATATTTCCCTACTTAATATTGAATAGTGTCTTTCAGTTTTCTTAATGCCTAAATTTCATAGAAGTATTATTTCTCAATTTTTTTTATAGCAGCTTTGTTGATATATAATTCACATACCATGCAGTGCATCCATTTAAAGTATACAATTCAGTGGTTTTTAGTGTATTCACAGTTGTGCAAACCATCTCTACAATCAGTTTTAGAACATTTTCATTACCAGAAAAGAGTCCCATACCAATTAGCAATCATTCACAGTTTCTTACCTCCCCACCCTAGCTTTAGGCAGCCACTAATCTATTTTTTTCCTCTTATGGTTTTGAAGTACATACCCAGTGTCAACAGAAGGAACTTCCTAGATATTACTGCATCTATTTGTTTTTTGTTGTTGTTGTTTGTTTGTTTTTAGACAGTCTCACTCTGTTGACCAGGCTAGAGTGCCGTGGCATCAGCTTAGCTCATAGCAACCTTTAAACTCCTGGGCTCAAGCGATCCTTCTGCCTCAGCCTCCAGAGTAGCTGGGACTACAGGCATGCGCCACCATGCCCGGTTAATTTTTATATATATTTTTAGTTGTCCAGCTAATTTCTTTTTATATTTAGTAGAGATGGGGTCTCACTCTTGCTCAGGTTGGTCTCCAACCCCTGAGCTCAAGCAATCCTCCCTCTGCCTCCCAGAGCACTAGGATTACAGGCATGAGTCAGCCACCGCTCCTGGCCTACTGCATCTATTGGTAAACAAGCATGTAAATTGGTGATCTAGCAGCTTTGTTTTTTGTTTTTATTTTGAAAGAGGAGGAAGGGAGAAGTAGTAAAACAAGAGTTTGATTTTAAACCCGTGGAGAAGGAGATTTAAGCCTGGTATGTTTGCCATTTGAAAGAGTGTCTTCTGAAGTTTCAATGCTTGATGTTCTTCCTATATCTGGGTTCCTTAATTTCTTCTGAGCAATAATCAGTTGCTAGTATTTCTTGTGTTCAGTATAATTTTAATTACTGTATTTCATTTTCATTTTGTTAAACATATTTCATAAGAAAATGTGAGTGATCTAAATTACAAACCTTTTATTTTTTTTACTTTTTAGAATAGCAGTCATTGATCTTTTGTGTTCCAGTGTGCAGAAGAGATGTTATCAGTCTGATTCTTGTTCCTGTGGAACAGAGTCTTATTTTAGGAGTTAGGTTTTATAATCAGCTTATAAGGTAAATGGTACACAGTCCCTTAAAAAATCCTTTAAGTCACCCATGGAGTATAGACATACCACCTCTTAGTAATATCATCCCTGCCATTTTTTTTTTTTTCTCATAACATTGTGCAGGACTGTAATTTCTTTGGTTGAGCAGCAGGTAAAGTGTCTATGGGCAGTATTGTACAAAAGGTACAATAACATTTTTAACACCTGGATCCCTCTCAGTGTAGGCAAATTGCTTTTACTCTTTGCCTTACAGAATCATATCTCCCATTTCCCTCTCATTCTAGGACATAGCTCATTGAGTGGAATGGTGGATGGAGTGGTCTTCACTATTTGTTTTCCTTTCCTTTTCAGGGTTTATATAAAGTTAAATGTATTTTACAAATCACCTACAATATAAACTTCTTTTATTACTCCTTTTGTTTTCCTTTGGAATTCTGAAATTTCACCAGAATGTATCTTTTTTTTTATTATTACCCCTTTGGTATTTGAGGGCCCTTTGAGTCTCAGATACTGTATTGATAACTTCAGGGAATTTTCTTCTGTTAGTCCACCTCACCATTGTTCTTTTGGGATACTTTGGAGATTACTGTTAGATTTTTGAGATTACCGATTACTGTCAGGTTACTGTTCAGTCTTTTGTGTCATAGAAATTGTTTTTTCCAATTTTTTGCCTTTTTGTTTTACCTTTTTCTGGGTTATAGTTTTTTTTTTTGAGACAGTATCTGTTGCCCAGGCTAGAGTGCTGTGGCATCATCATAATTCACTGCAACCTCAAACTCCTGGGCTCAAGCAATCCTCCTGCCTCAGCCTCCTGAGTAGCTGGGTCTACAGGTGTATGCTACCATACCCAGCTACTTTTTCTATTTTTTGTAGAGATGGGGTCTCTCTCTTGCTCAGGCTGCTCTTGAACTCCTGACATCAAGGTATCCTCCCACTGTGGCCTCCCAGAGTGCTAGGATTACAGGCATGAGCCACTGTGCCTGGCCTAGATACTATTGATTACAGTAGATAGCTGTTGTGGTTCCTCTGCAGTTATGTAGGTAGCTAGGTGGATTTTTTTTCCCCCTTAAAACTTTCTCCCTTGAATGGAGTGTATAACTCTGAGTTATAGTAGGCAAGGTTTATCAAGAAGCAGCATCCCTTGGGTTCTTTCCTCATTAGTGAGTAGTAGGAGGGAAAACAGGAGGCTAGAATACTCAAACTTGCCAAAATAAGGACTCAGGGTAGAGTTCCTTGGTAGGGTTACCTGTGCTTTACTTTCTCTCCCCTCTGTGTTTGTTTTAAAGGACCTCCGATTTGACTCTACTGTTAGGCCTTTAACGTACTCAGTAGGAACCATACCCATAACATCGCTCTCTTTAATTTTAAGAGCAGCATACTTCTAGCTTTAGCCTAAGAGCAAAACCAGTTGCTGCTAATTGTTCTGTTCAGTTATGATAAGAAGTTTTACATAGGTAATTCTCAGTAAGTTCTCAATAAGTGTTGGCGGTGTTTATTGTTATTACAAACATATATGATCCTTTTTTGTGACAAAAGAATGATTAAAACACAGTTTTTAATGGTGAGGAGGTGTGATTTTATCTCTTGGTTTTTGGTTTAGGGGTTTTGGCCTGAGAATGTTTTTTTGTTCATCCTAAATTTTATTTTACTCTATTTGGCAGTGTTTTTGTTTAAATCATACGTTTGCATAATTTAGGTTGAAAATTACTGTTTAGGGAGTAAGTAGGGAGGTATAACCAAAATGTATGTATGATAGAAAATTATGCTAATAATGTTACTTTTCTCTTTCCCTTTTTTGCTCTTTCAGTTTGAACAGAAAAGTGGTGCAGTTTTTGATGAAATTGTAGAGAACTGTAAGTACCATTTGTGAAAAAAAGATCATATCTTTAGATAGATAATAAATGTAAGTCTAGATACAGCATTTACTTATTACTTACTGTGTTTATTTAAGGCTGATTTATGTGATGGTCCAATCTGATTTAGTGTGGATCTCATCATATCCTATTAGTACTTTGTAGCAGGTTAATCTGAATTGTAAGAGTCTTAGTCTTTATTTTTTAATAAATATTTTATTCTCAGTTATTAATATGTTGAAATACAGCCACATTGTGTCATTGTGAATCATATAGAAGATTATACTTAACTGATCACTTTTAAAGGTTTCTACTTTGTTTAAGGACTCTTAATTTTCTTTTTAGATTCTGTGTTATCAGATTTTTAAAAATAATTTTTGTTTTTTATGATTATAAAAGTAATACATTCAATTTTATAATACAGAAATGAATAAAATAGAAAGTAAAAGCTTTTGTTATTACCATTCTCCAAAGATAACCAGTTTTAAAAGTTTAACATATATCTTTCCAGACTTTTTTCTCTGAGTGTATATATGAATACGTGGTATATGGGGATTTAGGTATGTGTGTAGGAATTTAGGTGTGTAGGAATCATATGAATGCTATTCTTTTTAATTCACCTGCATAGGCCTCAGTAAATGTAGACCAATTGCATCTTTTTTTGATGGTTACTCAGTATTTTATTGTATGGCAGTATAGTTAGTCCTCATTGATTGTTGTTGATAAGTTATTTGAAACTGTGACTTTAAGTGAAATGATGTATAATAAAACCAATTTTACCATACGTTAATTGATATAAATAAGAGTGAAGTTCCTATAATATATTTCTGTTCACAAAAACATGACCAGACTTCTAAATAAAGATCCAAAACACTTTCTTTTCTTTCTTTTTTTTTTTTAAGAGACACAGTGTCCCTCTGTTGCCAGAGTGCTGGAGTGCAGTGTCTCCATCATAGCTTGTTGCATCCTTGGACTCTTGGGCTTAAACAATCCTTCTACCTTAGCCTTCCAAGTAGCTGGGACTACATGCTGCGCCACCACACTTGGCTAATATTTCTTAACCTTTTTTTTTTTTTTAATCTGGGGGATGGACACACTTAAAGCTCAGACTTGAGGGGGGTGGGGTGGGACGAGGGCAATATATGTAACCTAAACATTTGTACCCCCATAATACGCTGAAATAAAAAAAAGAGAGAGATGGGGTCAACAGGGGTTTTGCTATGTTTCCCAGGCTGGTTTCTAACTCCTGGCCTCAAGCTGTCCTCCCAGCTTAGCTTCCTGAGTCGCTAGGATTATAAGTGTGAGCCATTTGCCTAGCTCCCAATAGGCTTTTAATATTAAACATTGAAATAAATATGAGCTATATATGCATTTAAGAAAGATTTTTAAAAAGAAGATAACTATTACCTAATTTTTGGTGAATCAGTAAATGGTGGTGGTGGTTACGGTATTTGATTAAATTAAGGGGTAAATGTTTGCGGGGCAAAAATTTTAAGGAGCACCTTCTACCACCAAAACGGTAGTTCAGAAAACAAACAATGAAAAACATGGTGGGCTCACTGACTGCTTTCGTTGTTGTGCATTTATATGATTATTGTATACTTTATGGATTTTTATTTTACAATAATTTGTATTTATTTAGTTAATCAGTTTCCAACCCACTTATTCTAGTTCAGCATCATGGATAGCTGGAGCCTATCCAAGAAGCACAGGGCAGAAGACAGGAAGCAACCCTAGACAGGATGCCATTGCATCGCAGAGCATATTCACACCCACGCTTACTCACTCTGGATAATTTAGACATGCCATTTAACCTAATGTGCACATCTTTGGAATGTAGGAGGAAACTGGATTACCTGGAGAAAACACTTGCAGACATGAGGAGAACGTGCATACTCTACATAGACAGTGACCCCGGCTGAGAATGGATTTTTTCCCCCTCATTAACGTTACAACAAAATAATATTGAATGAAATGATATTAAGGACCTGCTGTACTAAAATTTAACTAGCTTCCTCTTTTATACATGTATAAATTATTTTCAATATTATAAACAACACTGAGTGTATATTCCTGTACACATCTTTGTATACTTGTTGAAGTGTTTCTGTAGAATAAATTCTAAAAATAGATGATTATCGGAGAATATTTCTGTGCTTGTTTATGAAGGATAAATTTTGTCAACCCTTTTGAGTTAAGGGTGATACACTTTTTTTAAAGTTTATGTCTACAGGTAGAATCTGTGACTGCTTTCTCTTTGGAATTCATTTAGTAGTAGTTTTGTTTTTTTAGACTGCAGTCTATTTTGTTATTTGATATTAAGAAGTAACTAGCTCTCCTAATCTTCAGTGCGTTTAGTTATTGAATGTCCTTTTTGTTGCAAGCAATCAAAAATAGACTCAGCTACCTTATCCAAAAGAAACTTTTCAGATATACATCTGGGGTATTTCACAGAATTTTGGGTGGAGGTAAAGAACACATTTCTTTTTAAATTTTATTTCATTTATTTTTTATTTTTTTTAATTCAGGATATTATGATGGTACAAACATTTTGGTTATATGAAATGTGTTTGCCTCGCCCAAGCCAGGGCTACAAGTGTATCCTTCTCCCATACAGTGTGCCCCATTTCCATTAGCTGTGGGTTTACCCCCCACACCTCTTCTACCCCACCCCCCCCAAACACATTTCTTACAGGGTATTCAGCAATAGGAGATCGTGGGCCTGTTCTCCACAGTGCTGCCAGAAGCAGTTATGTTTCAGTGATTTTTAGTCTTTCTGTATATCCACTTTAAATTTTAAGCTCCTAGCAAAAAGACTATATGATTGGGCTAGCTTTATTCTGACATTCATCTTTGAACCAATTATCTATGATCAGGGAAACAAGGTCATATAGTAAAACATGGCTATAAGAAGGTATCCATCTGCCATTACTTCTCACTTGTATCAGATAATTTTTGAATACCTGCACTGGACATGACTTTGCTCAAGTCTGTATATTGATAATAGAAGTGAATCAAATCGCTTTCTATTGAAGGTTTTAATCTGGTGCTTTATTTGTTAAAGTTATTGCAGCAACAACAATCTTTTCTTTTCTTTTTCTTTTTTTCTTTTTTTTTTTTTTTTTTGAGAGTCTCACTCTCTTGCCTGGGCTGGAGTGCCATGGGGTCAGCCTAGCTCACAGCAGCCTCAAATTTGTGGGCTCAAGCAATCTTTCTGCCTCAGCCTCCCTAGTAGCTGGGACTACAGGCATGCGCCACCATGCCTGGCTAATTGTTTCTATACATTTTTAGTTGTGTGGCGAATTTCTATTTTTAGTAGAGATGGGGTCTCGCTCTTGCTCAGGCTGGTCTTGAACTCCTGACCTCAACCAATCCTCCCACCTTGGCCTCCCAGAGTATTAGGATTACAGGCGAGAACCACTGCTCCCTGTTCAGTGACAACAATCTTAAAGAGGCATCAGGAATGTATCTTAAAGCTATAACCAAGCTATGATACCTAGGTCACCACACTCAACATTTGGGGTTTATGTTTCTGGTGCATGGTGCTTTTCTGCTCTACCTCCCTAAACATTATTAGGCTAGAGATTTACAAGCAAGTTTTATATCAAACGTTGGGTACAAATGATACAATAAAGGTTACCCTTTATCTCCCTCTTTCTGGTAGTTTATCATTAAAGGGATGTTGAACGTTATGGAGGCAGAGAAATGACTAGCTTGGAGAGAAGATTGGCCTTTCTTCATGAAGGGGATTCAGGAACATAGACACCTGTCCAGCAGAGATAATGGCAGACTCCTACATAGATGATATTCAGAAAGTCTTTGATAGCAAAGTTGATTGGTCATTCAAGGCTTACCATGTTGTCTTGGGATTCATGTCTAGGAAAAAAAAGATTTACTGTATTCTGGGCAGGTGCTTCAAAATGTTTAGTGTAGCACTAGACTTATGTACTCATTGCCCAAGACCACCAGGACATGAGGTTCAAATATTTGTTTTGTAGATCGTATTTTGTCTTCCTAGAGTATAACCTTTCTGAAACTTTCAGCAAGATACAGAATCTACTAATTATCGGCACACATAAAGTGGTAGAGCCTAACCCCATCATTGAAGAAATTGGGAAATTTGATTAAATACGAAAAATTAGAGTTGACTTTCTGAAGATAAAGTATCTTCAGTGAAAGGCATTTAAAAGAAAAAGGCTTCAACATTTTATTCAGGTGAAAAGAGAAGGTAGTGTTGTCTGACTGATAGTTCATCCTTTGTGGATTTTTCAAGATACATGGTATTAAAGAAGATGACTGATACTATGGGTTTTTTAATTCATGTTCCCTCAACCACAGCTACTTTATGTGAAGTTTGAAGGAAGTTCAAATAGCTTATGGAGATTGATTTTATTTAACGCATCCAGATAGCACCTTTCGTAAATTAAGGACTTCATTAAAAGGCTCTGAGATAACCAACTGGTCATTCAGCAATGGTTACTTTTCTCACTGATAGAATAAGTTCATTGAACATTACAGACTTGATAGCTTCAAAGGAAAAATAAGAGCATTACTGATTTGTTCATGAAGTACAGTTATTTGGATTCAAAAATTATTATTTTGACTACTTGCAATGTACCAGTTTATTTGTGAAAAACTTTACATGTATTATCTTAAAAATTCTAATAGGCTGGGTGTGGTCTCTGGGAGGCTAAGGCAGGAGGATTGCTTGAGCCTGGGTCAGTGACCTATGATGACACCACTGCACTCTAGCCTAGGTGATAGAGTGAGACTGTCTCCAAAACAAACAAAGAAAAAATTCTAAAAGTGTATTAATTAAGATATTAAATTCAACTGTATATAATCGAAACATGATAGAAATTTATTTCTTGTATAAAATAAGCCCAGATGATAACATGGCTCTGTGGTTGTTAGGAATTCAGGGGCCTTCCAGCTTTCTGTATCATATATTTAGTGCATGGCTACCCCTTTCAAGTTAGCCTGGTATTCTAGTATGGCTG